GAAATCGGCCCGGTAGAACGCTCAAACGAACTATGACAAAAAGTATAAATTTACATTGTTTAAATGGGAGAATTCGCAACTTTACCACGTAATATAAAAAAACCTGGGCCATATTTTGAAAATCTGAAAAGAGTTGGCTTATCTAGAGACAATTGCCCGTCGATAGCCGCAAAAATCATGAAAATCGGCCCGGTAGAAGGCTGGAACTAAGCGTCACCAGTTTCGCAAAATTAGGAGGTCTTGGAGCTTATAGTATAGAAAGCGTCACCAGTTTCGCAAAATTAGGAGGTCTTGGAGCTTATAGTATAGATGGGACTAGCAGCTAGTATGGCAGTATCGCTGAGCCCTAAAACTTTAGGGTCCAGCCCTACAGACTGTAGATCTCATTGTCAGCAGTACTGCCATATCAGCTGGCTCCATTATTGATCTAAACCGGTAGCGCTTAGCGCACTATATCGTTTTTCCCCGTGAATTTATTCGTTTTAAAGATTGCAGGTATTATAATGAAATACAAAAATATACAAGGGCAACATGATTATTGCATTTTGTTTCGTAAAATCTCATAAACCGTATTTTCTCTTAAATCCCGCAGTTGTGTTTTACTCGACCGTGTTGGGCTTGATGGGCGTATCTCTGGGGATCTTCATCGCCATGGACAATCTACGGAAACAGGAATCTCATCCAAAGCCAATCTCAAGGCTCCTCAGTTCCATAGCTGATTTTAGGCTTGGACAAAACTTCTTGAGACCTTCCCCTTATTCAACACTAGTAAGTATTTCTGTGTGCGTCTGTACGTGTGTTAGTTTATGTAAGAACGCCTGTTAGAGCCTTGCCTTGCCTTCCTTTATAAAATCGAGCAATTCGAGGGGCAAATTTAAATCGAGCAATTTTATAAATCGAGGGGGCAATTTTGTTAAATTGGAGGGCATTTCAGGAAATTGAGCTTATGCCCTCAGATAGAGTTTCACCTCCTTTCAACGTAAATTTCGAAAAAAAGTGCAAGTTTCTGAGAAATATAAAGATGGATTGGCTACGAGAAGGTATCGTTTTCGATACAGCGATCGATCTCTGCATCGATTGCAGCGTTTTTATCAAAACCACAAATCTAATTATTTCATTTCTTCGAAATTTGAAATTTTTTGTGAATGATTCATTGAACCCATGCTCAAGGGTTATCGCAGTTTTATTGAGCCTAAAAGTCACAATTAAAAAAAAAAAAAAAAAAAAAAAAAAAAAAAAAAATTGCGTAATCGGTGCGATGTATTGCACGTCAGTTCGACCCAAAGACATTGTTCGACCACGCCAAGAGGCCGGAGCGAAGTACAAGTATCTTCATTTAGCAAGGGTGGTTTTTTCCCTTTTTTTTACGACTATGATTTGTCTGTGAGCACTTTTTAAACATTTTAACGCAATACTGTTTCCATTTTGTAAACGTTTCAGTTGAATTCTGACGAGAGGAGTAAGTTTGGAGGCATTAGAACGCCCAATGGCAGTGCAACAGGGATGCCGTCGATGATCTCAAACGAAAACCTGATCGGGAAGAAAGGAAAGCCACAACCTTATCCACTTTCCGCCGACCAAACTTTTCTAAAACCGAGCTCCAATGAATGGCGTTCTCTGGCTACATTATTTCATAAAATCTCTCTCGTTGCGCACGTTCTCATGTACCTCATCATTTTGATAAAGTGTTTTTACTAAAAAGAAGAAAAACAAACAATTCATGTCTTTTATTTTCATTTCTTTTACCTTAATCTACCTACTCTTCAATAGGATTAAGGCATAGACTTAGTGAGGTACTAGTCAAGGACTCGAGGAGCTCAAAAAATGTCTCTGCGGCCTCCATCGATGGCAATCAAAGTAACATTAGAATGAACTTAGGTTCCCTCCAAAAGTTATCCATTACATTAGCTCTCCTCTGATCCCTGTGTAATTTTTACAACCGAGGATACGAAAGAAGTAATCTGGTCAAAAAAAAATTTCATCTCAATATCGCGGAAAATACGCGATTTTCGTAGCTATGCAAACATTACAGTCATACCGTTTTAGTAACTTGGAAAGTTACAAAGCTACGATTTTCCTTCAATTTCGCGTGATACCACATACCTACTCCGGAGTATGAAGAAATGCTCGACGCATGCATCGTTGAATGATGAAGAGCAAAAGTATGCGATTTCCCCTCAAAATCGCAAGAAATAATATTTTTGACGGATTCGATAAATCAAAAGAAATTACGCGCCTTTCAGCCCAGTATAAAAAGAAATGCGCGATTTGTATATTTAAAAAATGAGGAGTTACGCAATAATCACTGCAATATCACAGCTGAGTAATACGCAATTCTTTCGGCGGTTTTGTAAAATCATGAAAAATTACCTGTAATTCGCCTCAACATCGCGAAAAATTGCAAATTTTCCACAGCTTAATGATCAAGACGACAAACATTAAAAAATTTAAATATCAATATCACAGATGACACGCGAATTTTTTTTTTATAGAGATTAAGATATTTATGTGATTTTTACAGTCAAGATAGAAAGACGTAATCCGGTCGGAAAAAAATCTCAATATCGCGAAAAATACGCGATTTTAATATCGATGCGAGTATTACATCCATAAACGTCCGTAACTTGAATAGTTAAAAAGCTATGATTTTCCTTCAATTTTGCGTGATACCACATACCTACTCCGGAGTTCGAATAGTTACTCACATCATAACATTCATAAACGTCCGTAACTTGAATAGTTAAAAATCTTTGATTTCCCTTCAATGGGCCTGTTGCATGCAAGAGATACAGCCGTGCGAATAGATTTATTAGAGGTTAAATGACACGAAAATTACGATGGTCACATTAAAAAAGTCTGAAATACACTCCTTACTGCGCAATTTGCGTTGTTAGGAACGCGCTTTTTCAAATTTCCCGCGTCTGGGGGCAGTCTTCTAACGGCAACTCGCGGCTATTTCCGGTCAACTAAAACTGACAACATAACCTAAAAATCTGAGCTCGTGATATCGTGAAATGAAATGTAGAAGGATTGCGTTGGATATTTAAAAGTTGATCGATTTCGTTACCACATAAAGCGTACATGGACCACTATAAGAGATCACGTTGGGTTTGCAAACAAACTGAAGGAAAAAATAACAACAGCAACAACAACGACTCGGCATCTTCCGGAAATCACCGAGCCCGCCGTTTGCTCGTTTCCGGTGATTAGAAAACTGCCCCTAGACGCGGGAAATTTGAGAAAGCGCGTTCCTAACAACGCAAATTGCGCAGCAAGGAGTGTATTTCAGACTTTTTTAATGAGACCATCGTAATTTTCGTGTCATTTAACCCCTATAAAGTCTATTCGCGCGGCTGTACCTCTTGCATGCAACAGGCCCATTTTGCGTGATACCACATGCCTACTCCGGAGTTCGAATAGTTGCTCGCATCATAACATTCATAAACGTCCGTAACTTGAATAGTTAAAAAGCTATGATTTTCCTTCAATTTTGCGTGATACCACATACCTACTCCGGAGTTCGAATAGTTGCTCGCATCGATGCGAGCATATACATAAACGTTTGTGACTTGAATAGTTAAAAAGCTATGATTTTCCTTCAATTTTGCGTGATACCACATACCTACTCCGGAGTTCGAATAGTTGCTCGCATCATAACATTCATAAACGTTCGTAACTTGAATAGTTAAAAAGCTATGATTTTTCCTTCAATTTTGCGTGATACCACATACCTACTCCGGAGTTCGAATAGTTATTCGCATCATAATATTCATAAACGTCCGTAACTTGAATAGTTAAAAATCTTTGATTTTCCTTCAATTTTGCGTGATACCACATACCTACTCCGGAGTTCGAATAGTTGCGAGCATCGATGCGAGCATATTCATAAATGTTTGTAACTTGAATAGTTAAAAAGCTATGATTTTTCCTTCAATTTTGCGTGATACCACATACCTACTCCGGAGTTCGAATAGTTGCTCGCATCGTGCGAGCATTACATTCATAAACGTCCGTAACTTGAATAGTTAAAAATCTATGATTTTCCTTCAATTTTGCGTGATACCACATACCTACTCCGGAGTTCGAATAGTTGGTCGCTACGTTACCACGTTTGAAGAAGGGAGAAATCACGCGAATTAATCTCAGAATCGCGAGAAACACGCGATATTTTCGACGGTTTCATTAAATCATAAGACATTATACGAGCGTTTCATCTCCGTTTTTCGTCAAATGCGGGATTATTCGAGAAATCTTTTTTAGGATGTGAGAAATTACGCCATAATCAGTGCAATATCACTGTAAATACTCAATTATTCCGGCGGTTTTGTAAAATTATTCATAATTACGTGTTATTCACCTTTAAAATGGCACATAAACAAGTTTACTTTCGGTTGACTGGGAACACACAATTTTCTATACTCAATATCGCGGAAAGTACAGCATTTTCATATCAATGAGAGCATAAAATTTAGCAAAGTTGGTAAATTGAGATAGGTGAGAAGTTATGATTCTCCTTCAATTTCGCGTGATACCACAAACTTACTCCGGCGTTCGAATAGTTGCTCGCTTGGTTTTTGCGTGTGTGAAGCGCGAGATTACGCAAGTGTTATCTCAATATCGCGAGAAATGCGCGACATTTCCCGCGGATTCTACCAATGGAAAGATATTACGTGCTTTTCATCTTGGTACAACGGAAAATTCGTGATTTTTCTAGCAATTTTTTTAAGACAATGAGAAAATACGCGATAATCATTGCACACGGAAAAAAAAACTTCGTGTATGGGACCCGAATTTGAGGTCTTATAGATCTCTGAAGTTTTCGGATCTCGCGTCCAAAAACTTGAGATCCAGTTGCCGAGAGGTTCGGGTCAAACATCTGAAGTACTTTGTTACATACCTAAGGGTTTGGGTCACACATTTGAAATGCGCCGGTACAATCCGAAGTACTTCAGACATTTTACACGAACTTCGGCTACTGGACCTCGAGTTTTCGGACGCGAGATCCGAAAACTTCAGAGATCCATTAGACCTCAACATCGGGTCCCATGCCGCACGAAGTATTTTTCTCTGCGTAATATCAAGGCAAAGGCGCATTGATCTAGCCTGTTAAATTCCTATAAAAACTAGTCGTTTTTTAATTTTATGTCATTATCTCCTCGTATTCTCTAATTTTCCAGCAATTGATTTACAACGAGAAAAACACACATTTTTCACATCAATATTTGTTAAGATACGCGATTTTTACATCAATGCGAGCTAATTCATAAACATCATTAACTTAAGGTAGGCGAAAAGCTATAAATTTCCTTCAATTTTGCGTGATACCACACACCAACTCCGGAGTTCGAATAGTTGCTCGCTGAGTTTCCGCGTGTGAGAAATTACGCGAGATTCGTCTCAATAAAGTTATGCGAGAAGCTATAAATTTCATTTCGTGATACTACATACCTACTCCGGAGTTCGAGTAGTTGCTCGCTCAGTTTCCGCGTGTGAGAAATTACGTGGGACTGACAGAAGCGGTACCGGTTTTGACCATTGCTCATTATGGAAAGGGGCTGATTTTTTTTAGAGGTGGCTCATTTGGGCCGTGGGGTCCTTCCTGAGTGAAGCAACTTGAAATTGTCGAATTGCAGACCCCCCCCCCTTCTGATACATTTTTGGAAAAATGATAAAAAACGAGAATAGTCGCGCAACCCGGAGATCGTTCCAACTTTTCGTTGTCGAGATATTCACGATAAAAGTTCAATTTGCACCAATTTTCAAAAATTGATAATGCCTGTTTGAAAAGTCGCAACAACGCCGTCTACGGGTGAAAATTCGTAGTACTACTACTTCATTTATAGCTAGGTTGTCGGAGGATGTGCTTCTATAGTTAGTTCGCTG